CTGTTGCACGACTGGTTGGCGGGCAGCCCCTCTGACTGGTCCTAAGCAGAGTAGATGAACTTTAGGGGGTGCAGGACAGGCTGCATGACACACCGGCAGCTCTATCTCCCAAACGATCGAGCCCCGTGGCTCTCTTGAGGTAGCTGCCTCGCTCTGCCCAAAAGCACGGGCAGTCCTGATTCAGACCATTCTTTTATAAGGGGTCAGCCTGAAAAGTGCTCAAAGCATCACTTATTTTGGCCAGTTTCTGGCACTTGTGTGTTTGTGAGTAACAAGACAAGCAAGATCTTACGACTGCTGGTCTTCTGACCCTGCAGCACAGGCTCCTGCGGTTTAGCCCACAGCGCCACCACGTCCCTGGAGTGGGCAGACTATCAGCCTAAAGTAAGATGAGTGTGGTCTCTGGGGCCACAATGTGTCAATGGCCTCGGAAGCTGCACGGGTCAAACCCTTGTATGCGCCATCAATGCGCCACTCTGGAAGTTAACTGTTGCACGACTGGTTGTCGGGCAGCCCCTCTGACTGGTCCTAAGCAGAGTAGACAAACTTTAGGGGGTGCAGGACAGGCTGCATGACACACCGGCAGCTGTATCTCCCAAACGATCGAGCGCCGTGGCTCTCTTGTAGCTGGCTCGCTCTGCCCAAAAGCACGGGCGGTCCTGATTCAGACCATTCTTTTATAAGGGGTCAGCCTGAAAAGTGCTCAAAGCATCACTTATTTTGGCCAGTTTCTGGCACTTGTGTGTTTGTGAGTAACAAGACAAGCAAGACGTTAGCAAAAGGAGATCACGTTTAAGCTTCACGCTTTTCAAAAAGGATAAACTACTGCATTGTTGAGTCCACAGCATGGTGGCACAACGGCAGGCTGTGTTTGGTCTTCTTGGGTGTTGGTAATTCCAGTCAAAACCTGTGGGACCTTCCAGATCCGATTGGATTCCAGTCCAGGAGAGCCTCAGTCAAAGGGTCAGGGAACAAAATACAGCAGTAGATTTGTTTCCCAACTTTGCTGTAACTTGGTAAGTTTTTTTTCTGCAGAAGGAAGAAGGTCTGTCCCTGGGCTAATTCTGCAGTCCTCTTGCAATCTCCTGCTTCACAAGCAAACAGCAAACAAACTGGGGAAGAAATGCCCTGGATCCATTTGTGTGATTATGTGATTTTTTAAAAAAAGTCAGAGGAATTGGGAGTTTAGCAGTCCTGAGGAAAGCCAAGCCTCTGCAGCTCCTTCACCCCCCCCCCAAAAAAAACAGTAAAGGCTCAGCATTTCTTTTGGCTTTTCAGTAGGGTTCATCTTTAGACTCATAAAAACTACTGTAGTTGACTTATTTAAGAAGAGAACTCCTGAGATTTGATTCTGCTCGGTTTCTGTGGATGGGAAACACCAGGATGGAAAAATCCCAGAAGTTTCCACATAAGGGTCAGGGAACAAAATACAGCAGTAGATTTGTTTCCCAACTTTGCTGTAACTTGGTAAGTTTTTTTTCTGCAGAAGGAAGAAGGTCTGTCCCTGGGCTAATTCTGCAGTCCTCTTGCAATCTCCTGCTTCACAAGCAAACAGCAAACAAACTGGGGAAGAAATGCCCTGGATCCATTTGTGTGATTATGTGATTTTTTAAAAAAAGTCAGAGGAATTGGGAGTTTAGCAGTCCTGAGGAAAGCCAAGCCTCTGCAGCTACTTCACCCCCCAAAAAAACAGTAACGGCTCAGCATTTCTTTTGGCTTTCAGTAGGGTTCATCTTTAGACTCATAAAAACTACTGTAGTTGACTTATTTAAGAAGAGAACTCCTGAGATTTGATTCTGCTCGGTTTCTGCGGATGGGAAACACCAGGATGGAAAAATTCCAGAAGTTTCCACATGAGCAGGTAAGAGGAGCAGGCCTGCCAGCATCTCAACCCTTGCATCCAGAGCGGATGGCGTGAAACTTCCCTCCATTTTCCATTCTAGTAATATTATTTTACCAAGAATCTTGTTTAAAAGACCAATCCCACAAAACGTGTCTCGCATTGCAAGGGCTCCGGCAGGGGAGCGGCGAGGGTGTCGTCCCCCCTCCACCGCCCCGCCTGCAGCCCCGACTCACCACAGTCCGCAGCTTGTTGTCCAGGGCCAGCTTCAGGCTGTGCTTGTAGCAGTTGCCGAGCTCCGTCTCCTGGGCTGCGCTGGGCTCTCCCTGGGCTATCGGCCCCACCGTGTGAATGACGACTGAAAGGAAGGGGAGAGGTGAGGGTTAGCGCCCAGAAGCAGCATCGCCGGGCCCCAGCCTTTCCCAGCCTCCAAGTGTGTTTTGTGTTTAGTCGTTTAGTCGTGTCCGACTCTTCGTGACCCCATGGACCAGAGCACGCCAGGCCCTCCTGTCTTCTACTGCCTCCCGGGCGTGAAACTTCCCTCCATTTTCCATTCTAGTAATATTATTTTACCAAGAATCTTGTTTAAAAGACCAATCCCACAAAACGTGTCTCGCATTGCAAGGGCTCCGGCAGGGGAGCGGCGAGGGTGTCGTCCCCCCTCCACCGCCCCGCCTGCAGCCCCGACTCACCACAGTCCGCAGCTTGTTGTCCAGGGCCAGCTTCAGGCTGTGCTTGTAGCAGTTGCCGAGCTCCGTCTCCTGGGCTGCGCTGGGCTCTCCCTGGGCTATCGGCCCCACCGTGTGAATGACGACTGAAAGGAAGGGGAGAGGTGAGGGTTAGCGCCCAGAAGCAGCATCGCCAGGCCCCAGCCTTTCCCAGTGTGTTGGACTACAACTCCCAGCATCCTTAGCCTAAGAGAAAGGCCATACAAGAGCTGAGCTGCTTGCCAACTTCTTCACCCACAACTTCTTTCCACAAAACTGATGGGCCTGCAAACCCGATTCTTTCCAAGGAGAGTAGAGTCAGAATTATTTTGTGAATACTACACTCCTAGGCATCCTTGTTAATTATTAAGCAACACTGACTTATTTTTCTGGATGCTGTTTAAATCTACACACATTGCCCCTTAGCTGTAACAAGGGTCCCTGGGTAGTTCTCGAGCTATTACTCAGTCTTAAAAGAGCTATCTATGGAACATTCCAATTTTTTAACATAATTTTTTAAAAACACACACTTAGCAAGGCAGTCACTGAGCAGCCATCTATCTTGTGATGTTCCCTTTTATTAGTGCAAGGTTATACACTTTTAAAAGAATATATACTTTGAATGATTTACACTCGTATCCTTCCATTACTTATCCTACTGTCACGGAATAAAAGTGTCACCGGAAGCCTGTTGTGAAAGTCTGGCAGAGGTGGAAGATGGCAGAGATGAAGCAGCGGCTGGGCGTGGGAAGACTCGCATCCAGCACCCCTCTGCTCCATGTCACGGTTGCAGAATGAGTGCTCCCACACACACACACCCCAAAGATTGTGGCCTGAAAATCCCAGCTGGACCTCCCTCCGTTGACTAGGGTGGCTGCAGCCCCAGCAGGGCCCTCTCGTCCCTCCATATTTTCTAGACTGTTTTGTTTTATTTTTGATGGGCAACTGTGGTCCTCCAGATGCTGTCTGACTTCGACTCCCCTTACCCTCAACCCTGGATTGCCTTGGCTCTCCCGGAGAGCCCCTGAAACTCAGCAACCCTTTTTTTTGGGGGGGGGAAGGAGAGATCACCCTTCCTCTTTCCTGGCCTCCTTTGCTGGAGTTTCTCCTCCACCAGATTGTGTACTGGTTTGGGTTCAAATATACACTTAAGGGGGAAGGGGTAGGAAAAGTGGGGGGAGAGGAGAGATCACCCTTGCTCTTTCCTGGTCTCCTTTGCTGGAGAGGTTCTCCTCCACCAGATTGTGTACTGTTCTGGGTTCAAATATACACTTAAGGGGGAGGGGGTAGGAAAACTCCCTCATGCTGTTGCAAGTGTTCCAACATGCGCCTTGGGACCCGGGGCATCTGTGACAGATTGTCTGGGCAGAGGGGGGGGGCAAGAACCGAGAGGGGTCCCTTCCCCTCCCCGGCCCAGGAGAGGGGCTGGGGGGGCTCTCCGGACCCCCTTTTTTGGGGGGACACACACACCCTTGGAGGGCCCCCCTCCTCCCGGCACAGGCTGTGAACCCCGAGGGAGGGTCTTCCCGGCCGGTGAACCTCGCCCTGGACGAGGAGGCGCTCTGAGGGCACCAGGGGGCGCCCTTGAGCCGGCCAGCGGCGCCTGCTTTGGAAGCCGGCTTGGACACTGGGGGATGTGTGTGTGGGTGACCCCCGGGAACCTTGCAAGGCCAGGCTGGTTCCTTCTTCGAGGGAAAGAAGCCCGGCTCTCCTCCGCCGAACAACGTCTCTGGAAATAAGAGAGGCTCAGCCCCAGCCGCCCCCCTAAAGGCCCGTCGTGTCGCGCCAGTGCGAAGCCGCAGGGATGCCACGAGTGGACTAAAGGCCAAGGGCCACCTTTACCCTTCACTAACTGTGGTGTGGGGCGCCTCTGGCAGGCCGTAAAGGCACCTCAGGAGAGGGGAAGTTGGGGGACCGGAGACATCAAGGACGAAGGGGGGGCCCCCTTCCAGGTGAGACTGGCCGCTCTCTGTGGCCCAGCTGCCCAAAGGCCCAGAGCTTGCAAAAGTGGCCTCTGTGGACCCCGCAGCTCCCCGAATCCTCCAGCAGCTGCTCTGGCGGGTTGGGAGGATGCTTGAAGTGGTCGCCCCAAAAAGTCACTTTTCCAGCCTCGGCCAGGAGATGGGCTCTCCGTGTCTCCACAACTCCTGCCCTTTCTATTCCAGTGGAGGGATGGACAAGGTCACCCAAGTGAAGAAGGGTCAAGCCCTTTCCCCGGCGCCGCCACCTCGCCGGGGAAACCACAAAGCCACACCTGGCCACTCCAGGCAGCGCCACAACACCTGCCACAATGCTTGAATCAGCTAGCTTCTCTCTCTCTCTTTTTATAGCAGTGCAGCAGCCATAAAAGGGACACTCAGTGGGGCATCGTGGATAGAGTGATGGACTGAGGCTCAAGAGGCCTGGGTTCGAATCCCCGCTCAGCCATGGAAGCTCCCTGGGGTTACGTGGCACCAGTCAAATCAAAGGCCTCCCCTACCTTGAAGGCCCTTCTGGAGTCACTATAAGTCGTTTGTGACTTGACGGAACAGCAGCCATTAATTATCAAGCTTCAGGATGGGATTCACCGGCGGGTGGCAGTTCCAAGACCCAGGCGCATGGTCTGTGCCAGAAACACCTGGATGCAGCCGTGCCTGGACTGGGGCTTTTAAACCTGAGCAGAGTTGTAGATCATGTCCTACTCACAAGGAGACTTTTACCAGGCAGGAAACCCTGAGCTTCTTGTGGCGCTGTGTTCCACAGGGCAAAGATGGGCCCCTGTGTTAGCACATCTCGTGCAGGAAGGTCTCTTCCCACAGTGGCCTTGATCTGGCCCGCTCCCTCCGGTGGATGCTTGGTCCCAGGGAGCTCCCCATCATCCTCCAACAGGGATTCGCCCAATCGCTTTTCTCAGCATCTTCTCTAAAACCATCTCTAGCAGGCACCTGTTCAGGCTGTACAGCAGTTTTTCCCATCCTGGGGGGGTCAAAAGTGTTTTTTTTTGGGGGGGGATAACAGGTTGCCCTCTATGGGTAGCCCTTGTTAAATAATTCCTCCTTTAACCTTCCAGAGCAGGATATTAAAGTTGGCGTGTATGTGTATAAAACAGGCCCTTTGGGGGAGAAAGAAGCCTCTGCTTTCTGAGAAGGAATGACTTGACCCCATTAAAAATCGCTTTTAATGTAAACACCAGGTTGTGGGGTGCAGGTTACTTGGCTGTTATAAAAGAGGGGGATCACGGCTTGAAAAAGGTTGAGCCCCACGGCTCTGCTCCCTTGGGAAAAATCCATTCCCCTCTCCCAACATCCAACCCAAGTCAACCTCGTGGAACTCAAGCCCATTCATTCACTGCAACACTGTCCCCGGATCCTCATCATCATCATCATCCTCATCAAACCAGGTTTGGGCCTTTTCTGTGACATCCTTTCTGGTGTCTGGAGAGGGCTCTCAGCTGACATGTTTGGGGGGCTTTTAAACGAAAGCAAGGACCTGCAAAATTGAAGGTCCAATGTCAGACATTAATCCAGATCTCTCCTTCCCCCCTCCGCCCCCGGGCACTCCATTTCCCTGCTAAAGAGTGTGATGTCGTCTCCGTCCCAGTTCTTCCCTGAAAGCCCAGGGGCCCTGCCTTGGCACTCCTGCCTCTCCAGCCCTCCGAAGGCTGCCAAACTGCTGCTTCAGCTTCTCGGCAGCCAGATGCCACCTAAACTCTCCGAGTGACGCAGGGACCCGAGGGACAGCTTGGTTTCCTTTTAGTGCCCGGAGGCAGCAGGCTTGCCCCTCCGCCACCACTCCCCGCCCGTGCACTCCTGGGACGAAGGCCGCCTCCTGCTGTTGGAAGCAATCTGAAGTCCCTGATCTGACTTAGATCAGTAAACAAAGGAGCCCTTGCCAAAATTTTCAGGATCGGGAGACGCTTTTGGCTCTGATCGATGCATAGCTCTCCCCCGCCCTCCTGCGCTCCCTTGTGATGTGAAACAGGTTTGCTTTGAAGGAGACACACACAGATCACTAGGTTTTTGCTGGCATTCTCCGGGTGCAAGCGTTAGAACAAAAGATCTGAGGTAGCAAGACATGCCTGGGAAGGACCTTGCGCTAGCTGTGATTCTGCTGGCAGTCAGGAGGGGCTGAGGGTGGCGGCAGGCGGTGATCTAACGAGGCCAGCTTTCACAGGATCAAAGCCCCTGGACGTTCTGATTAGCATCAGGATAATTGTGCTGTCCACTGTCCCCTACCCATGCTGCACTATTCCATCTGAACCACAATCTACCTCTGGGGTCACAGTGCAAAGTGTTTTAGGGATGGTGTGGCTTGGGCAATTAAGATCCCGTAGGTTTGCAAAAGTCCTGCTCTTGGAATGGGAAAGAGATGGGAATGGTTAGAGTACACCTAGTTGATGCAGTTCCACACACAACCCTGAAAGTCATCCTTCTCGCTCCTCACCTTCCGTATAGAAAGGAAGAGCAAAATGTGGCGTGGGTAAAAAGAAGGCTGGGGCTTGAGAGGGTCAAGCTTATCCTTCAGACGCCAGTCTCATAGGGTTCCTCCCAAACCACTGCCCTCTGGGAGCGCCTCTGCTACATCACCACCACCACCATCATCCCCAGCCAGAGTGCCCATGGGCAACAAGGTCCAACACAGCCTGAGAGCACCGAGCAGGGAAAGGGGGAGAGCTAAAAGATAAAAGCCAGCCTTCGCAGCGCTTCTCGGCCTATTTTCCACTGCCCTAAAGGGGATGCAAGCTTTGAGGGTAGGCCAGAATGTGGAGAATTGCTTTAGGACAGTTGCCTTCCCTCCCCCCTGCCGACACCGACACCAAGGGGCACTACGGGATCCGAGAGGTGGTGGCCCTTGTCGGAAGAGTGGCAGGAAACAGCCCTTGTCTCCCAAGCCGGCCGCTTCCTGCGTGGCACAGCAGCCCCTGATGCAATCCCAAGGGGACAGCGAGTGCCCTAAGCCGAAGAAATAAGGAGGGGCATCCAAACTCATGGGTCCCCCTCTCCCCCCCCAACCCCATTGGGATATTTTCATTTCCTTGGCCTTCTCTTTGCCTGAGCGCGGTGGCGGCTGCAGCACCGGGAGGATCCTGCCTCCTCTCCTGGGAAATACAATCAAAATGCAAATCTCC